GAGCTTGAGCCTTGGACAGTAGGGACCCCGGTGAGGATAAAGAACAGAATAACTGAGGTACAGACGTGGTCAGATCTGTCCAGTCACAGCATGAAGGATGGACTGGGGAGGATGAATCTGGAAGTGGAGACCAGCTAGGAGAGATCATGGGTTCAAATACTGGCTTCACCACTTGCTCTGTGCCCTTAGGCCAGGGGCTTCACCTCTCTGTGCCTCAGTTTCCCTGGGTATTCTTCAGGTCTGAAACAGAACTTATGCCATAGGGTTGTGGAGTGGATTCAATGCATTGGTACAAGTAAAGCATTTGGCATATAGTAAGCACTTAATAAGGGTAAATGGTGGGTAAATATACCTCTGGTGCCTATTGCAAGGGTACCTGTCTAATCTATTAAGTATAGAGTATAAAGGTCTTAACACAATAATTAAGTAAATGAGGTGAAGGATATATTAGCTAGATGTAAGCATTCCAAATTGTATATAAAATCATCACATTGTACCCCCTAAGTGCATTAATGTATACATGATCTATGTGTTTATGACTTAATAAAAAATAGGTAAAAAGAAAAAATATCGTCAGTTGGTTGTGGTGGTCGTGATTGCTGTTGTTATGATTACTACTGCTATGGTAATCCAGAAAGAGTTCAGGAGGTTTGTCCAGGGCCAAAGCAGAACTCCCCTCCTCCCCGTGATTTACAAAACTTTTGCTCACAAGATGTTAATAAATATTTATAGAAAGATTCTGTGGCCAACCAAGTGTGGACTTCAACTAAATAAAACTGGAAAACAAATAAACAAACAAAACACAAACAACCGAAGGACTTCTCCTAAGCTTTCATATTTTCATGTGAATTGTAAATCTCTAAGAAGTGGGAAATGGCCAAGTATGCAGAATTTCTCAAATATATTTAACCATAAAACCCTCTTTCAAAGAATGTTTATCACAAACTTGCAAGACAAATAAATCATGGGACCCGGTTTGGAGAATGTTGGTTGTCCTGGGTCCAGCCTCTTTCTTTGAACCTGCACTGTGAGGCCCCCTCACCAACCTCCTCAGCCTGAGATCCCCATGGAAACCTGTTGGGGTCCTTCTCTTGGAAGACGTGCCAGAGCCCGAGAGTCCAGGTGGGGCTGAGGTCCATTAAGGACAGAGTGTTGGACTTAATTCCAAGCAGCTGACTCCATATCAATTTGGGTCACTGTGAAAGCATCACTTTCAGTTGCCTTTAATTTAAACAAACAGTAAAAAACTCAGGCCTGCCTGAGATGCAGGCTGGTAGATGTATAATTCCCAGCACAGGGAGGCAGAGGGCAGGGTAGCAAAAAGCCAGAGGATTTTGTGAATGAGTATGTGTATGTGTGGGCAGGGATGAGAGATGGAGAAAGAAAGAAAGACAGGGAGAGGTGTGGATCTGTGGGGCAGAGCCTGGAGAAGGCCCACATTAGAGCCTTGTCCCCAGAAGCTGTCATGGGGAGTAAAATGAGAGAGGTGGGACACTTTAGGCATATGATAGCTTTCCCATCCAAATACTGGCTTTCAGGGTGTGTGCCCCTGTGCCTGTGTCACCTGTGTCACCTGTGTGTGTACGTTTGTGTGATATGGCCAGGGAAGGTGTTTAAGAGCTCTGGTTCTGGGGTTCTCGTTGGGTTCAAATCTGGCTCTATTATTAGCTGTGTTGTACCAGGAAAGTTGCTTAACTTCTCTGTTCCTCAGCTTTCTCATCTGTAAAATAGGAATAATGGCAGTACCCACCTCACATGCTATGGTGAGGTCTCAATAAGTTTACACATACTAAATATGTCAACGGTGCCGGCATAGAGAAGCACTTTTCTAAGAGCTTGCTACTTGAAATATTATTATCGCACCCCACAGGGTGTCTTTCCCCAAACCGGCAGGGCCCGTTCCCTTGGAAGCCAGGTTGGGGGAGGCAACAATAATATGCTCTATTTCTCTCCTCTCCTGGAAAGAAACAAGCTAGAGGTCACAGAAGGTCCCTTTGACCTCTGGGGGTGTTCCCTGGGGTCCAGAGTGGAGAGCTTTGCTTTGTGCTGTAGCGCCCTCTGTTGGGAGAGCCCAGATCAGCACTATGGACAGAGTGCTGGACAGAGGGAACGGGGGAACCGCCACACCTCTGGCTGCTCTGGGGGCAGGACTCCCAGGGAAAAGGCATGTTCCTCCTGACTCATGGGTCTGAGTGCCAGGACTGCGCTGCCACAGGTGGCCCATCTATTAAGAGACGGGAGCTGAGGAACGTTAAGCAAACTAAAAGCTCCACAGCTGCCCTCATTACTGTTACTCTGAGCCACCCTGTGCACTCAGCTAACTGCACCTCTCAGGGCATCAGAGACGTCTCACTCTGGGACAAAAGAAAAGGCTACACAGCTGCGTTTCATGAAACAGGACCTAGAGGAGTGGGCTTCCCCAGAGAGGGTTGTAGCAGCAGCAGTAGTATTACTGTTACAAAACCATATGGTAATAGCCATGCACGTCACAGCCAAGACCCTTGGGGGGACAACAAACTGCACCTGGGCAGGATATCTGCTCTGCTCTCTGGTGGGCTCAGTCAAAACACGTGATCCAGGTCTTCTGGGAGGATTCATTGCCCTGGGGCACCTGCTAGCACCTACCAAATGCCAGCCTTGTTTTAGGAGCTGAGAAATAAAGTGGGTAAGACTGAGTGACCTGCTCTCATTCATTCATTCATTCACCCATCTATCCATCTGATAAATATTAACTGAGGGCCTACTATGTGCCAGGCACAGCTAGGAATACCAATAATTATAATATACAATGATGGTAAAGTGAGTGTGGATGACTCAGAAGTCCTGGGATTGAAGGAAGGTTATTGGAGATTTCTAGGCCCAAGCCTTCTAGGGCTTGGACAGAGGGAGCACCTCTAGGTGCTCTAGGAAGCACCCCTCTTTTGACTACAGAGCCTTCTTTTATCCTCACTAGCATCTTCCCAGATGTCATTCTCTAACCCTTTCTGTTCCCTGAGCTCCCTTTCCTAGCTGGTATGGGCCGGAGCTGGAAGGAGACGTCACCAAGGGGCCCTGGAATCCCCACCTGCTTCACGATCTTCTCTCCAGTGGTTGGGCTGCAGTGAGCGGTTCACCTGAGGAATTGCTGCTGTCCACCTGCCTGGATGCACTCTGATGTGCATCTGGGCCCAGCGAGCAGGGATCCCATGCAGCAATGCATAGTACTCACCTGCAGAACTCAGATCTTTCCAGCTTGGTGCTATTATCTCAGCTAGGGAGTTCATTCCACAGAGGGCTTAGAACCTGGAATGGGGTTTTGATCATGTTGGCTTTTTCTTGGGCCAGAGGTGGGGAGAGAAAGAGGGAGAGGGAAGAGGCAATAAGGGACTGTGCCTCATGGCATGGCTGGGCCAAAACAGGTTGGGGGAGAGATGACCTCAAGCTGATCCTCAGCATCTTGGAGAATGGGAGACCTGGGTGGGTGGGAGTGAGAGGGAGCAAAGAACAGCCAGTCAAAGGGAGAAGAAAGGGCCTGAGACTCCAACGTTTAAGCCATATGTAGCCCAATCAGCCTGGCAACCAATTAGTCTGATTCAAAAAAAAAAAAAAAATACCCACATAGGGACAAACTGTAATCAAACACCTATTTATAAGGGTTTATTACGATCATTATTATTATTTTACTGAGAGGATCATTCTAAAGCCTGTCAGGTGAATGTATGCTTTCAGATCTTCATGAATGCAAATTGCTCCTTCCCCTCAGGGGCGGGTGAACAAACTGAACAGCAAGGCTGCTTGGGGAGGCAATGAGTGAGGGTCTGAGGCTCAGGCATAAAGAGGGAGCAGTGAGCTGCTCTGGGGCATCTCTGCACAAGGCCCATTGAGAGTCAGCCTGGTATCTACCCACCGCCCATCCCACTTCTACACCCTCCTCAAAGGCTGCTGGAGGGGGAACTGGCTGGGCAAACAGAGCAATATTTTGACTCAGCAACCTGCCAGGACCAGGGAAGCTGGGGATGTTCCATAGAATCCTTGAGCCAAGAGCCCAGAGACCTGAGTGTTGAGCCCAGTTTTGCCTCTGGCTAAGCTGGTCTCTCTGGGTCTAGTCAAATGCCCTGGTTCCCTTCCAGTAGTGAAATTCCATCCTCTGAACTTCCTCACCTAACCACAGCCCCAGCCCACCCCAAGGGCTAGAGTAACCCTCCCCTCCTGCCTCACAGGAGACTGCAAAGCTCACAGGACTGAGGCTCCATGGGGTATGTGTGTGTGTAAGTGTGTTGGTGGCAGAATAATGATAAGATACATATCCCAAACCCCTACTTTTCAGACCAAGGGAGAAAAGGTGTCAGGCCTAACAAAAAGGGTAAAAACTTGGTCTTTGCCAGGAGACAGTAACCAGTTCCTGACCCATTCCTGGCTGGGTCCCAGAGTGTGGTTATTTTTGGAAGAAAAGACGATATAGCACACCCCATTTCTGTGGGTTTCTGGGGAAGGGGCTGCCATAATTTGGGAAGTTTCACAACATTGAGGCTCCTTAATCCTTCCCACGGAGGGCATTCATAGGTGGCAAGGCTAGTACTCCAAAGCCACACCCTGCCTGCCTTGCTCCGAAAATGGCATCGCTCTCTGCTTCCTTCCATCAGACTGAGGGCAGGGGGTGGTAGTCCCAGGGATGGAGCAAGGTGGAAGGGATCAGATGGAGCGTGGCTTCTGGAGCGCAGAAGCACTGGGTCACCTGGGAGAGGGTTATGAAGCTAAAGGCACCAGGCCAGTTGTGAGCGAGAGGGGGAGACCCTGGTGGGGCGGAGGAAGGTGGATAGAGGGGGGGTGAGTTCTCCTCCCTGCAATAAATCGGCTTAACAGACTAGAGCCGAACAGCCCAGAAAGGATTAAAGAAAAGTCTGTATAATACAGCCGAGAG